TCTCCATCCTGGAACTGTCAAAGGAGAGAATAATAAGAAGAAAAACTCGGAGGTGAAGGCCCAAAAGAAAGAAGCCCGACAAGATTAGTAGATTGGGTTATTTCCCGTTTCATTGTAAAATTAATTTGAGGCGGGCGCAACTTCTCTTATGGTAAACATAGGGTAGCCTCGTGTGAAGGTGAGCGTAAAACCAGGTCCTCCCAGCATCATGCCAAAGGTCGCAACCTCCTTTTCTATTTTCCTTGTTTTTTGTTATTAGTTTTTCAATTTTTTTTCTTACTTTCATTTATATTTCCAAATATTCCAAATATAATAAAAAAAACTTTCATAAACATTTACTTTTTTTATCAAACATTCGAAAAATGTTTAATGTATATAGGAAAAATGTTTCTCATGTATATGAAAAATATTTTTAAAAATTGATAATGTATTTTAGAAAATATTAATCAAGAATCAAGTATTTGAATTTTTTTAATCAAGCATTTGAAATTCCTCATGTATAAAAAAATGTGTACAAAACAATATAAAATGCGTATGGAGAAAATAGATCTTGTATTGAAAAAATGTTAATCAAGTATTTGAAAATGTTAAATTCGTGTAGAAAAAATTATTCCCATGTATAACAAAAAATATACAATTTTTATGAAAAACAGTTGATCATGTATTTTAAAAAAGTTAAATCTGTACAAAAAATGTTCCTTATGCATACGAAAAAAGTACAATGTACATTGTATAAATGTAGACATCAAGAACGTATATTTCAGAATAGATAATTCTGTATTTAAAAAAAATTAAACATGTATATAAAAATGTTCTTGATGTATATGAAATTTGTACATTGCGTGTGAAAAAAGTGTTTTCCCATTAAAAAATTGTTCACCTTGTATTTGAAAAATCTCGATCATGTATTCATAAAAGTGTTCGAAACTTGTATATAACGAAAAAAAAATTGTTCATCGTGTATTTGGAAGACAATGAAAACCGAGAAAGAAACAAAGAAAAAAAAACAGTGGAAAACAAAGAAACAAAGAAAGAACACCAACGAGAAAGAAAAAGGGAAACCACTAAAAACCGACAAGGAAACGAAAAGGAAGGCGGAGAAAATGAAGAAACCGAGAAGGAAACAAAGAAAATCCACATATTTAGAAGAAAACTGAAAAATAAGGAAAAGCAGTGAAAACAGGAAAAAAGGTATAACGAAGAAGAAAAAGAAAAACAAAAGAAAATCGGTGAAGAAAAAAAAAGGAAAATAAATACCATAATAAAAAGAAAAAGGAAAAGAAGAAAACAAAGAAAAACTGAATTAGGTAGGAGAACCCAAAGAAAACCATGCGATGGAAATCAGTGAACTTGAACGAAAAGGAGCTAATCTTTACCTAATAATAAAGACAATTGAGTTTCTTTCGTTCGTCATGGCATTTTTTTTAAAAAGTCCCTCTATTTCAGAGAATTCAACCCGCAGTCCTGTTTTAAGTCAAAACGAATCTTTTTTTCGTATTTTACACAAAAGTCTGTGTATTTTCTTGAAATCAACCCGCCGACTGGATTTAAGTTATACCCGAACCGTTATTTTACGTTTTACGAAACCCCCCCTGATGTTTTACGTAATTCATCCGCGGATCATATTTAAGTCAAACAAATACTTTTTAAAAATCATTCATATCTTTCAAACCGTAACTCCGATTTGAACATGTTATATATGAAATTTGATTAGAAAAATATGTAGAATCTGAATATGAGATCATATTTACCTATTAAGTATTTTTCAATATTATTTTGGAATGTATTTAAATCAAACAAATGATTTTCTATATTATCCATATCTTTTAAACCGTAACTTCGATTTTAACATATTATATATGAAATGTTATTAGAAAAATGTGTGGAATCTAAATATGATGTTAATTTTTCCTATTAAATATTTTTAAAATATTGTTTTCGAAGCAAACTTATAATTTATAGTGCAAGATCCATTTTTCTTTCGTACTGCGGCGATCCGGATTGCAAATAAACACCCCACTATAACCATATGGGGAAAAACATCGATAACTACACATGCATACCTCTGGAAAATGTCGCAGGAGAAAACAATAGATTTCTCATCGCGAGAGTGAGAGATAGCGAGAGAGAGAGGGCGAGGGAGGAGAGAGGGAGAGAGAGAGACACCTTAGGATTAACCATATTCAAACACGTTTTTTGTTGTTTTGTGTGAACACCGAGGCGATTGCCGGCGAGGGTGAGAAGGAGGATAAGCGGCAACACAAATGTGATGCCTCGCAAAAATAAAAGAGATGGACCTATTGAGTGATGGTTGTTGGGTTAAGAGCTTGTGTTATGTTTTTTCTCCCGTTGCAACGCCACGGGCTTTTTTGCTAATAATAATAAAGCAAATTGGGTTTCTTTTGTCCGTCATGCCATTTTTCAGAAAAGTCCCTCTATTTCAGAGAATTCAACCCGCAGTCCCGTTTTAAGTTAAAACGAATTGTTATTTTCGTATTTTACACAAAAGTCCCTGTTTTTTCTTGAAATCAACCCACCGTCCGGATTTAAGTCACACTCAAACCGTTATTTTACATTTTTCGAAAACCCCTCTGATGTTTTAGGTAATTCATCCGCAGATCATATTTAAGTCAAACAAATGCTTTTTAAAATCATCCATATCTTTTAAACCGTAACTCCGATTTGAACATGTTATATATAAAATTTGATTAGAAAAATATGTAGAATATGAATATGAGATTATTTTTACCTTTTAAGTATATTTGAATATTATTTTAGAATATATTTGAGGCAAACCAAATGATTTTCTAAATTATCTGTATCTTTTAAACCGTAACTTCGATTTTAACATATTGTATATGAAATTTTATTAGAAAAATGTGTGGAATCTAAATATGATGTTAATTTTACTTATTAAATATTTTTAAAATATTGTTATGGAAGCAAACTTATAATTTATAGCGCAAGATCCGTTTTTTCATACCGGCGGCGATCCGGATTGCAAATAAACACTCCACTATGACCATATACGGAAAAGAAAACATCGATAACTACACGTGCATACCTCTAAAAAATGTTGCAAGGGAAAACA